TGGGAAGGTGGCTCAGTGGTAGAGTGCTTGCCTTGCATGCCTGAGGCCCTGGGTTCGATTCCTCAGCACCATGTAAGCAAAAAGAAAAAAAAGCTGGAAGTGGCGCTGTGGCTCAAGTGATAGAGTGCTAGCCTTGAGCTGAAGAGCTGAGGGACAGCGCCCAGGCCCAGAGTTCAGGCCCCATGACCGGACCCCCTCCCCCCCCCAAAAAAAAGAATGTAAAAATGCTTTTTTTTTTTGGCCAGTCCTGGGGCTTGAACTCAGGGCGTGAGCACTGTCCCTGAGCTTCTTTTTGCTCAATGCTAGTGCTCTACCACTTGAGCCACAACACTCCTTCTGGCTTTTTCTGTTTATATGGTGCTGAGGAATCAAACCCAGGGCTTCCTGCATGTTAGGCAAGCACTCTACCACTGAGCCACATTCTCAGTCCTAAAAACTCTTTTTTTTTTTTTTTCAGTCAATTGTAGGTCTTGAACTCTGGGCCTGGGTGCTGTCCCTCAGCTCTTTAGCTCAAGGCAAGCACTCTACCACTTGAGCCACAGCGCCACTTCTGGTTTTCTGGTGGTTAATTGGAGATAAGAGTCTCAGGGACTTTCTTGTCAGGGCTGGCTTTGAACTGTGATCTTCAGATCTCAGCCTCCTGAGTAGTTAGGAGTACAGGTGTGAGCTACCAGAGCCTGGCTTTTTATATTCTTTTTTCACGCTAATTTTTAAAATCAGAAATACACAATCTGTATTTAAAGTTTACGAAGTTCATGCTTGATAGATTCAATCTACAGAGCAGGCTGCTGCAAACATCCCTAATATCTCTCTAATAACTGAATTAAGCATCAGTTCTAAAAACAGTAGCATAAGAGTCCACTACACAAAAATACACTTATAAGAAAATATCTGTGGCCCGGTGGAGCCCACCTCCCAGGGCTTGAGACCCCATGATTCTCACCACCAAACTCAACCAACTCTCCCTATTTCTGTGTCACTGCTCCCTGAAAAGCATCAGGCCTTGCTTGCCATTTGGATAAATGAGGAGTCACTTTGATTTGTTTTTCTTTCACATGCTTCAAAAGCCAGCTCTATTCCTTCCTTTTTATTTATTTTTGAGTTCCATTTGGGTACTTTAAAAATTAATTTATTATTTTAAATTGAAGTTCAAAAACATCATTAAGGGGCTGGGAAGGTGGCTCAGTGGTAGAGCGCTTGCCTTGCATGCCTGAGGCCCTGGGTTCGATTCCTCAGCACCACATAAGCAGAAAAAAAATCAGTAAGTAGTTGTATAAAGGAGTTACATACCATTCAACAAATCAGTTTTGAATACAAGGCATCTTGATTGATGTCACCTTTTTTAAAAAAAGATCATTTTCTCCATTTGTTTATTTTTCTATCTGGCGAATTTTATAAGAAATTGGTTCCTTAATTTGAAATTTATAAAAATGGGCAAAAATATTAAAAATATGTTTAAAGAAAAGTCAAAGCTCCATTGCATCTTCATGTGAAGGAAGCCAGAGGCCCTGGGGTGATTCCACATCACTGAAAGACAGCCAGAGAAATACTCACGCCAATACACTTGACTACTTTTCCCATTATGTTCCCTTGTGGCTGAAATTTCTTGTACATCTTACTGCCAATGACAAATACAACTGTACAGGGAAAAGGAGATGTGTTAATATGGAGATTGCCAGGCCTACCTGCACCCCAAGAGAGGGCTTTGATTTCAGTTATTATCTGGAGCTGCCTTGGGGTCTGAGAAGCTGATGGGAGGTAGCAGGCATTCGTGTTTGTATATCAGAACAAGATATGACACTGTCTGGTGTCAAAAGAGCTTCCTCTCCTATAATAAAGGATCCAGCTCTTCCTTAAGTTAGTCACTTACTTCTAAACAAGATAATAACTGAAATCAAAGCCCCACAGCTGTTTTAGCCCCAGTTCTATCTGTTACAGGTAGACAAAGGATATAAGGATCTACCCTCCACAAAGACAATAAACATAGCTATAATGTTCTGGGAGGCAATGCTGAGAAAAATTTCCTTATCATTTTTCTCCTTTTCCATGTTCAGAGAAACATAATTAGTCTGTTGAAACTTTACTCCTATGTGGCAGAATTCTTCTATGGCACAGTACAGAAATGTGGCTACAATTAATGAAGCAGCTCTTCAAGGAGACTATTCTGCCATGGAGTGCCTTCCTTCCTTCCTTCCCTTTTTCCCTCCCTCCCTCCTTTTTTCCTTCCTTCCTTTTCTCTCTCTCTCTCTCTCTCTCTCTTTCTCTCTCTCTCTTTCAGTTGGTCATGGGGCTCAGACATAGGGCCTGGGCACTGTCCCTGAACTTCTTTTGCTATAAGGTTAGCACTCTACCATTTGAGCCATAGCTTCATTTCTGTCCTTTTGGTAGTTTACTGGAGATAGAATCTTGTGAACTTTCCCATTTGGCAGGCTTTGAACTGTGATCCTTAGAGCCTCCTGAGTCGCTAGGATTACAGACATGGGCCATCAGTGTCTAGCAGGCCTGAGATTCTTTTCCCCTTTCTTTCTTTCTCTTTTTTGTCAGTTGTGGGGCTTGACCTCTGGGCCTGGGCGCTGTCCCTGAGCTCTTCAGCTCAAGGTGAGTACTCTACCACCTGAACCATGGTGCCACTTTCAGTTTTCTGAGTGATTAATTGGAGATAAGAGTTTCATGGACTTTCCTGCCCTGGTTGGCTTTGAACCATGATCATCAGATCTCAGCCTCCCGAGTATCTAGGATTACAGACATGAGTTACTGGTGCCTGGAAGGTCTGAGATTTTTGACAAGTGCTAACTCTAAGGCATCCCTCCTGGATGAAAGGCATTCATTTATATTTTTGCCCAATGCCCACCATCCTCCCAAACAGGACAGTAAAGATGTCAATGGGTTGAATATACATTTCCTTTGACCTACTACTGTGTGTGTGTGTGTGTGTGTGTGTGTGTGTGTGTGTGTGTTGGTACTGGGGCTTGAACTCAGTACTTTCGCTTAGCTTTTTTGCTCCAGGCTGATGCTCTACCACTTGAGCCACATCTCCATTTTTGGGTTTTTGGTGGTTAATTATAGATAATTTTCCTGCCCTGGCTGGCATCAAATCACAATTCTCATTATAGATAATTTTCCTGCCCTGGCTGGCATCAAATCACAATTCTCACAGCCTCCTGAGTAGCTAGAATTACAGGCATGAGTCGCTGATGCCCAGCTAATTCAACTGATTTTTACTTACTCAGGGATACAGCCATGAGAGCAGCAGGAACTCCAAAGGCCAGTGGGTAACAAGAAGTTTGGGTTCCACATTGTTGAACTAGAAAGAAATGACAAGATTAAAATATCATTGTGTTATCATTAATGGATACATAGTTTCCATTGCTAAAAGTTCCTCACTGGTTAGCAGAACTTGTTTTTATGTAACTTTCTAGACTTAACCCTTAACAGCTGAACACTGCTGCATTGTAGGAGACAATAGATTGTAACCTCAGCCCCTACATACATATGTGACACTGGGTCACCCACAGAGCCAGTGGGCTCCTATTTCTGTGGATTTTCCAAGGTGAGGCTGGAACTGGATATAGTAATTCAAATGCATGGAACCCAGTTAAAGCAAAACTACACTGGAAAGTCAATATTGTATGACCCTACATTTATGGTATTAGGTGACATTTAGATATTACCTAGGACAGAGGTTGAAGTTTTTCTGGGAAAGGCCAGATTGTTAATTATTAGGCTTTGGGGACCATTTTATCTCTCTCATATCTCATGGCCTCTATCTTTGTAGGGACAAATCAGTCATTTTTAAATGAATGGTCTTGTCTGGGTTTCTGCATTTGGTCTGTGATAGTTTGCTACCCTCTGACTGAAAGCTACTTTAGCACTGAAATCCTGGGGTTGGTTCAAAAACATATTTATGCAACAGAGATTACTGTGAACCTTTTCAGTGGGATGTTGAAGCTCCCCATAATGATCTGATTCTACGAAGATTTTGACTTTGTCTGACTATTTCACAATTATGTAGGGAAAGAAGTTAGTTGATAGAAAAGCGATAGTCATGAAAATGTTTTGCATTACAAGTAACAATAACTGATGTTTATAGTCCTCACTGCTTGGGAGGCAGAAAAAGGAGGACTGTGGTTCAAGGCCAGCCTCAGCAAAAAGGTAGCAAGACCCTATCTCAAAAACAAGATGGGGCCGGGCGCTAGTGGCTCACGCCTGTAATCCTAGCTACTCAGGAGGCTGAGATCTGAGGATCGCGGTTCAAAGCCACCCCGGGCAGGAGAGACCGTGAGACTCCTATCTCCAATAAACCACCAGAAAACCGGAAGTGGCGCTGTAGCTCAAGTGGTAGAGCGCTCGCCTTGAGCTGAAGAGCTGAGGGACAGCGCCCAGGCCCAGAGTTCAAGCCCCACGACCGAAAAAAAAAAAAAAAAAACAAGATGGGCATGATGATATATGTCTGTAGTTCTAGCTACATGGTAGGAGGGGTAGGAGGATCATGTCTGAGGCTGACCCTGAACAAAAGTAGAAGATTCTATCTGAGAAATAACTAAAGCAAAGAGGGCTGGAAGCATGAGTCAAATGGTAGAGCACATGCCTAGCAAGACTGGGATCCTGAGTTCAAAACTTAGTATTATTAAAAAATAATAAAACTCTGTTGATAAAATTCTTCTTTGAATTGATTGCAACAACTTTCCATTCCCTCACTAATTAATAGTGAATGTTTATCACATGTTCGCCTTATGTTAATAAGAGTCATGACTTTAATGTCATCTTTTAACATAGTCTATACTGCAGACATGCATAGTAACCATACCCCAGACAAACCTGAAGTGGGAAAGGAGAGTGACTATAACTCAACAAAGCTTTAAACTTGCTTAAAAACCAACTTGATACGTTGTTTAAGTGTCTATCATTCATGTGCAGAAACACATGAATTTCTAAAAATATTCTGTCTCATAATTTCATCTGATTCAACTGGAGGCCCCATGTTTTTGTTCCAAATAATACCACTTCTTCCCTTCAGCGTCAGAAATACACAAACTGTTCATACACTCGAGTAACCACAAAGAGAGTTGCTGATAGTGCTATTTGATTCTGTTCTCAGTCTCTGTGTCAAGGCTTTTCTTTAAGAAATACTTGAGATGATGAGAAATCAAAGAACAAAATTTTGTCTGCTAAGGTCTTCCCAACTTACAGAGCCATCACTGGGAGCTGAGCTTGAAGGCTGATTGTACATGACGGCTCACTAGACATTCTTCCTGATACACTTCTGGATGCCTATCTAGAGACTTTGCATTAGTAAAAACCTGGAAAATTGATGCCTGCGGTAAGGATGTATTAGCTTCTTCAGTGGTTATTGGACTAAGGTATCAGATATGATTAGCTGCACATCTGACAGTTAAACTAAAGATAGGTCTAAACAAAACCAACAAAACAAAAGTTTAGCTTTTCTTTTTTAAAATCGGACTTTCCTCCTCCCAATTAAAAGAAGGAGAATAAATGTCTCATCCAGATATTCCTTACCTCTGAGTATGGGAGTGATGATCGTAGAAAGCAAACTTCCAGCATTAATGGCCAAGTAAAAGATGGAGAAAAATCTGTTCCTTTGTTTTTCCTGTCACAGAAAGGACAAGTTAGACTTTATCTATCTGTAAGTCATCAATGAAGTAGCTGACCTGTGCACCAGATATGTGCCTCAGCTCATATCTGACCCCACTGATGACCTCACTAGCTTCTATCTGACCACACATGTGATCTCCTCCTCCTCCTCTCTTTCTCCTCTTCCTTCTCTTCTTCTTCGTCTGGTGCCAATGATGGAGCTTGAACTCAGGGCCTTGCATTTTTGGCTTATGCCTACACTCTACCACTTAAGCCACACCTCCACTTTAAATTAACCACCATTTTCAGTGGTTAATTTAAAATAAGAATCTTACAGATTTTTCTTCCCAGGCTGGCTTTGAACCATGATCTTAGTCTTCTGAGTAGCTAGGATTACAAGTGTGAGCCACTAGCATGGGACAGTATCGTACTGGAGAAGAATGGGATGGAGAACAGACTTAGCATCAGGGCCATTGGTTCCTGGGGGCTGTCATTCACTGGTCTGGACGCTGTGGAGGGGCACGCTCTTACCTGGCCTTCTTCAAACTGATCACCACCAAATGCTGACACGCAGGGCTTGATTCCTCCCGTACCAAGTGCTATCAGGGCCAGGCCGATCATGGACAGTGCCCTGGGGAAAGGGTCAAGGTGAAAGGTCTGTAGAAGTGGGAGCCTCCCCGCAACTGCCCTTAGAGGACCAGGTACAGGGTTCAACCTAGGAAGAGGCTGAATTTTTCTATAAGGATAGTTCACAAGCATGCAGTCTAAGAGTGGAATGAAAACTTGAACTCCACGGAACATTGTATAAATTTGTCTAAAATTGTGCCATCTAGGAAAAGGAAAGAACTACCTTAAAATCTGAACAAAGTTCTTTTGTAGCTTTATCATTTCCAGTGAAAGAACGTGCAAATGAGATATTTTAATTAAGGGGCAGGTAAAGCTCAGCAGTAGAGCATATACTTAGCATGTACAAGGTGCTGGGTTCAGTCTCCAGAACACATGCATATATGCGTGCGTGTGCACACACACACACACACACACACACACACACACACACACACACACACAAACCAAGGAAATGTTACTTGAAGAAACATAAGACTGTGTCTTGTATAATCAAGGTAGACTCACAATAGTCATAAATGACATTAAGGTGGTAATGAAAAGCAGAATCTTGGTTCTATAGTACAACCTTAATCAGCTTATAATGTAGAAAAAAACTACAATGAAACAGAGCCATGATTTATTGTTGAAACCATGTGATGGGACTAGGTTATTTATCGTAATTTACTTCTGTGTATTTTCTAGGTTATCTATGAGTGTTTGATCTGTTGAATTGAACTCTGGGCCTGGGCGCTGTCCCTCAGCTCTTCAGCTCAAGGCTAGCGCTCTACCACTTGAGCCACAGCGCCACTTCTGGCTTTTTTCTTTTTGC